GGACATGCGTCGTACCCGCGTGCGGGCCCGTGAAAGTTTTTCCCAGTAAGTTGCTAACTCAGGAACCAGGAAAACTAGAAAGCTGAAATTTTAAGGAGGTGTATCCTGTCAGTTTTGGCGGCCAGTCTTAATTTGTTTAGCTGAAAGCATTTGCCGAAAAAGCCGGTGCAGGTAGCGACAAAAACTTCGGGGAACTGTGCAGAAAACGCATTTTCTCACAGGCAGCCCGTGCGTTGGCCAATTATGTTATTCAGCTTTCAACCTTCCATTTGCTTTGAACAATGTTGCATGTCTGATGGTCAGCCTGCTGGTGATGTTTCACTGCTGACGGGACTACAAGCTTGACGGTTTTACCTGTGAGGCTTTAGCCGTTTCGAGTTGTTCCAAGTTTGTGCTGAGTATAACCCGACTGGTGCTGCTCCTGGATTACGATAGCATACTTTGTCGACCGGATAGCTGCATATTTGAATAGGTTTTGTAATTCTTTTCTTTTCGTCAGGTTGCGCAATGCTTCCCAGCCAGCTCGTGCAGCAAAAGCAAAATCTGAAGAAGCAGCAGGAGTAGCAGCAGCTGAGGAGGCGCCCCGAGGTATCTCATCGAATGCATCAGCACCGCTGTTTGCAGCGCCACCACCAGCAGATAACGTTTGGGAGAAACGGGCGGAGGAGCGCGAAAGTGCTGAGAGGGAACGAGCGGCGCAGCGAAATGCCCTAAATCAGTTGCACCTGCAGCAGCACTTCCCTGCCGTTGGCGAGCAAACAGGTTAGTTGTATCATTTCTTTTTTATTGCACTGTTATTCGTTATTTGCTGGCGCGTTCACTTTGTGAAAAACCGTGGACGATGCGGGGTCTCATTGTGCATCCCCTGTCCCCATCAGGGCAGAATGTTGAACTTCATTAGCTGATGCGAGAACTGAAAATATTGCTGAGTTTATCTACTACAAAAGTGTGGAGAACAAAAGGTATAATTTTCGATTATAGGCATCACAAATCAGCCAATGGAGACGAACCAGTTACCTGGTGTTCGTTCTAAGGATGGTTATCCAAGAAATGAGCAACAGCAGCAAAATCAAGGGCATAATCGACGGACTGGCAACCGAAATCGAAATAATAGGTGGACGGAGAGAAAATACAGTAACTATAATCAGCAGGGTGACGATGGCAACGTCACTGGCGCTGATTATTATGGACGAGAGGACGAGGAAGACGCAAGCGTCCGAGGTAATTCTTATTTCGCTGGACATTCCGAAAAACGTAATAAAATCGTTACGACTCTAAGAGAAAGTAAAATCTT